AAGGAGTTCTACCAGTACGTCACCTTGCCGGACAAGCGGAGCGTGGTGCGCGGCAAGGATCAAGTCATGGCCAAGCAGGATCACACGCGCCAGCTGGTAGACGGCGGCGCCGTGTCGAAGGTCGGCCTAGACGCCGCCGCCGAGTTGGCCACCCGCGGCCACGTCTTCGAGAAGGGCGTGTTGGCACGGCCGTCCAGCAGAGTCAGGCACGCCAACACCCCGGCCGCCGGCCGCACCAAGATCCTCATGGCCCTCCAGACGCCCTCCTGGTACCGGTTCTAACGGGGAGGACCAGCGGGGCTTCCAGCCTCCAAGGACGCTCCAAGGACAACGCGCCGGTTGTTGCACGAGCGATGTAGATCAGTAGTTAGCCATGTCTTCTTCTCGTGTTGAATGAAGCTCTTTCTTCTCTGACATACATATTTTTATATATCACACGACTACGACCTTGACAACAATATCGCGCGCTTCTTACGTCTATTTCGCGCCTCGACGCGCGCGTCGCTCGTCAGCGTGTCGAGGCCGGCTTTCCCAGGGGACGACGAGCTCTTTCCCGCTGACCTCCTCGCACGACGTGGACTCTGTCGAGCCGGTCCGTCGAATTTCTTGCGCTTCTGTTCTCTCCCGCTTCCGAGTTCTCTCGACGTGCGTCGCGCGCTTCTCCGCGTCTTTAGGCTAACCCACCGCTCGATCGAGCTCTCGTCACTCTGGTGATTCAGATTCGAAACTCTCTCGAGGGTCGGGAGCGTGAAAACGGCGAATTTGCTGATCGATTCTGCCAGACTCCGCGCGAGCCCGTTCGTTCTCGTTGATTCCACGAAACCGCTTTGAGCTCTAAGGAGTGTGCTCACAGGGGATTGCCCGATTCGGAGATTGAAAGACCCGGGCAGAGACTGGAGAGGTGTAGCTTGCAGAGATATCCGTCTCGGAGAGAGAGAGAGAGAGAGAGAGAGAGAGAGAGAGAGAAGGAGTGTTAACAATCTTCATCTTCGATATCAGTCGGTGACCTTGATGGTAAACGACGAGTATAAAGCACAAGCGCAAGAGAATATCAGAATAAATCGTCGTAAATCTCGAGCGACTCCGGTCCGAAGAACGAGTAGACCTGAAGACGGGGCCCAAGACTCGCGATAAGGCAGGCACCGAGGCAGGCACCGAGGCAGGCAACATTCTGCGCGTACACACACGCACGCACACACACACATACTCACACACGCGCGCGCGCGCGTGACACATGCACACCGTCCAACTTAGCCACGAGTTTGTTGGCAAGGGCGCGTGACGTTGCCCAACGCGCTCCGAGTGTCCTAAATATTTCTCGACGAGAGACGAGGAGACGTTATTAATGCGTGCGTATATGCCGTCCGCTCGGCGCGGTTTATAATTGGCCCGCGCGCTGCGTGTCTGCGGGTATATAGATCGATGTATCAGCGCGATCGCGTCACCCCGGGCTATCTTCTGGTCGTCTCATCTCCTCCCAGCGCTCGCTCTCACTCGTGCATCCTTCTGCGCTCTCGTGCGACTTCCCACTTGGTCCCCGGTCGCACGGAAGAAAAAGTTCACTCGAGCGAGCGGATTCTCACCGCTGCGAATACGAACGAGCCAGAAATTCCGCCTGGGGGGAGCACCAGGACTCCCTGCTCAAGTCGCCCGGAAGTCCTGATAATTCCGACTGGGTTCTCTGACAACTTCAGCCGGAATTCCTGCGTATCGTTCGCATCTCGCGGGAAAATTCGCTCGCTCGAGCAAACATTTGTCTCCCCCCCCCTCTCTCTCTCTTTCTCTCTCGTCTCTTTCAACCACTCCTCTTTGTGCTCTGTGACGTCGTGTCCTGCGCGAGGTCGTGCCGTCGCAGGTCACGATTCATGCGCCCGACTACTTGATCCAAATCGTGCGGTCCAGTCGATCAACGCGAGATAGACGCACGTACGGGCACGTACACATACACACACGCGCACGACACGTACACGACGTTCGCTTCGCCTGCACGGAGGTCGTGGAGCCGCGCGTGCCGAAGACGAGGGCTCTCCGCATCGCCGTGTTCGCCGACGACGCGAGTCTCGCTGGCGGCTTCCGCCGTGAATAACCAGCTAAGCGATCAATCTCGAGAGAAAGTCAAGACGCTGAACGTCCGCTTGCTGCGACGCAGTGATGGACGTCTTCCTACCGTCGCGAGAACTCGAGGTCGCGAGCTCAGCCGCGACCATCTGGGCGGCATTACCGGTCAAAGTTCGCCGGCAACTTCGCTCTTCGCGATCGCCCCCCCCCCCCTCTCTCTCTCTCTCTTTCTTTCGGAACAGACGAGCGCTGGCGAGTACGACGGGGTTAATTAGTAGCCGCGGATCACGCCGAGATCGGACGATCATAGACTCGTTAGGTGTACAACTTAATTCTCGGCCCCAAAATTCAATGAATGACAGCTTCTGTTCAAATTGAAATTTATTCCCGCCCTACGGTGGTCTGAAAGTACTAAGCCTCAGCTTTAGAATGCAGTATATAACAGATGACAGCCCTGCTGATTTAACCTCACAAAACAGTAGTGAATGCAATGTCCGTCGGTGAGCCGATCTGTCCTGACTGACCCTGCCTTGACCCTGACGTTCGACACGTGTGCATAGTTGCGCAATTGGAACGGGTCCCAGCAGCTACCTCGATGGGGGAACGACGGGAACGTTTCGCTTTAGTGAGACTTCACTTTTTTTCACTCAACTAGCTCGCGTGTGTGAGAAAGATCATTCGTTGCCGCCGACACGCGACTGCTATTTGAGTCAGCAAGACAGTCGCGGGGAAATCGGCTCACTAAAGCGTGCAAATTTTCCCCGTCGTTCTCCGTCGACTCCTGACGAGGCGGCCGCTGGATAACCCGTCCGAATTCTGTCCCGTACAGTCTGCACACTCGTACACACCCACGCGCCCTCAAGCGACACCCGCAGGACACTCACAAATGTGGACGCGAGCGGGAAAAGTTTGCAAAGAGTTCTCGAAAGCTGCCTTTCGCCCACAGCGCGCACGTTCCAAGCTCGAAGAGCTCACCTCCGAGAGGAGGAGGCCCGCGACGGCAAACGTCCCCCGGGAGCTCGCGTGTTAGTCACAGCACCTCAGCACGCGTCACGCTCAGGCCGCATGCGGAAATAATCGGCAGCCCGCCGATGAAAGTTCGCCAAATAACGCGCGCTCGACGAGACGTCGCGCTCCGCGAGACGCGAGTTAGCGCGCGAACAATGACGAGCGTGGGCTCGTCCGCTGCTCTTCTCACCTCAGCCGGGGTGTGCCAAGAGCCAGAGCACTCTCGCGAGACCGGTCGCGAGACTCGGGTTAGGCGACGCGCGCTGCCTTCTCGACCGGCTCGAGAAGCTGTTCTCCATGTCGTTGACCTTGTCTAACCCCGAATCCGTAGACGCCTCGCCACTACGTGGTCCGCGACTATCCGGAGGCCGGGGTGAGGTCCGCCCAAGAGCAGTACAGCTATTCGTACACCAACGCCAGCTCGAGCAGCTCCTCCGCGGACCCGTACTCCAGCCGTCCTCAGAGGAGCAACTACACCCAGGAGAGCGTCGTGAAGAGGGAGAGCGGCCCGTACGGCTCGTACACGACCGAGAGGTCGACCAGGACGTCGTCCGGCGGCGGCCCCGGCAGCTACCGCTCCTCCTACGAGTCCACCGCTTCCGGTCGTCTGCCTGGCGGCACCTCTTACCGCCATTACTCCTACCGCGTCTAAGCGACCGCCCGGGGTCTCTCGTGAGCTACCGTCCTCATCGAGCCCGACGGCGACGAGCTCGCGACGACCGCGAGAAGGATCACGGGGAGGAGGAAGAGCCGTTTCTCGCGCTGGTCGGAAACCAAAGCGGAAGCTCGGAGCGGTCGCCTCGGTGTCGGTGAAGCCGGTAGTCTCCGCGTTGTCTTCGTGGATCGCGTGTGCTGATTTAGAATTCCTTTCTGTTTGTATCCCCGTGCCACAGTTTTGTACGCTTCGTTATCTTGTTTTCTTTTTCTTTCGTTTTTCGTATAAAAGCCTTCGCGGTAGGACGAGAAAGAACGGGGAAGAATCGCACGCTTCGGACAGCGCGCGCCGCGGCGACGGGTCAACGGGAAGCGACCCTGACGACGAGCTTCTCTCTCTCTCTCTCTCTCTCTCTCTCCCTCTCTCTCGGCCTTTCCACCGGCCGAGTCCTCGGTCGCTGTCGCCGTAGCTCGCGAGCATCGCGCGCACCTTAGAGACATTAGAAAAGCCGAAAAGAAAGAAAAAGAGGGAGAGCAGTCGCGTGAAGAACCACGCTGTCTCTTCCGGGCGTGTGTTTTTTCTTCTCGGCGCGAACTCGGCTGTTGTAGCGCAGGCGTCTTCGCAGTTCCAGCCTGCAGTCAGCAGGGCGCCGGCAAGCATGTACACGAGCGAACTTGTAAATCTCGAGCTTGGGACAGGCTCCTCCTTCTCGGGAGGGGCTCTGCGTTCTCTGTGTGCGGCGCGAACATTGTAAACAAACAGTTGCAGCAATAAATCGCATTGAACAGCACAGCATAGAGAGATCTCTCTGTCCATCTGACAACGCAAACTTCGTCGACGTCGACGTCGACGTCGACGTCGCGCCGAAGCACTCGCGCGAGAAACGCGTACTTGAAGAGTCGCGAGTCGAGCGCCGCCCGCGGGGGGTCTCTCGCGAGTCTCGCTCTCATCACGCGTAACGCATCCCTTGTCTGCTCCTCGACACGTCCGTCTGTCTCTAACGGCCCCTTCCTGAACCTTGGGATGTGACGCTTTAACTTTCCGCGTCTCGCCGCTGCTGTGACCAGAGTGAACGTCTTCCTTTCCTTCGTTCCTTCCGAAAGTGCGAACTTTGTCCAGCGGAGTCTTCGTGGTCCTGCGACGGCGCGCGGCACCCTGTGGGGCGCCCGTCGCGCTACCACGACGAGGCATAATCTCAGAAAGAGACGGTGACGGAAGGGAGAAGTGACCTCACAGAGACCGATTAACACGACAATGTACGGCAGGTACGTTCGTTCGGTAGAGACCACCTTGTTGACTCGAGAAAAATGCAGCGTCGAGCAAGCGTCGAACGACGAGGAGGAGGGAAATCGACGTTCTTCCTTCGCGTTGCACCTCGAGAAGCTGACGAAACTACCTTGCATCTCGAGCAACTGATTAAACTAACTCGAAGCTTCGGCATTGCGGCATTTGCGCTTGAGCTTCACCTGAAACATTCAAAGTTCCCAGAAAAGTCATACGGGGACGTTGGATTGGAGCGTCGGGAAAAATTGCTCGTGTATCTTCGAGCGCTCTCGTGATGTCGCACTGTTGCTGAAGAGCACGCGACTCGAAATACCTACGCCGCGAGTGTCTCGTCTCGACACAAATTATTCCATCGTCTTCTGAAATTATGGTTACCTAGCACGACGTTGTCGCAGGGTGGGCGCCGGAGAGAGCTGGGCTACCCTCGCGAAATCAAACCAGCTCTACTAACCGTGACTAACAACGTTTCATCATCATCATCATCATCATCATCATCATCATCATCATCATCATCATCATCATCATCATCATCATCATCATCATCATCATCATCACCATCGTCGTCGTCGTCGTCATTGTCATCGTTGTCGTCGTCGTCGTCGTCGTCGTTGTCGTCATCGTCATCGCCGCCGTCGTTGTCTCGATAGACCCGCAACGCGAAAATCGGCCAAACATAAGCATAAATATCCGCCGGGATATCGCGTATCTCTCACGCCCTTCTCCCTTCCCCTCTGCCCCGTCGAGCACCCTTTCACTCCCGTCTGCTCTCCGCCCCCAAGCACCCCGTCGAGACGGCGAAAGAAAGCAATGTCGAGCAAGCGCGAAAGACGAAAGAGGAAAGAAACGAGACGGAGGAGAAGGAAGGTCTACAACACGCCAGCCGAGTCACTAACCGAGTGTTGTTCTTCTTTCTATTTATTCTGCCTCCCACACGTGACTCCTCGCCCCCCCGCCGCCGTCGTGGCCACCATCGTCGCTGACACCGTCGCCGTGGCCGTCACCGCTGTCGCCATCGCCGTCGCCGTCGCCGCCACCGCCATCGCTGGAGAACTCGACGGGCGCCATGAAAATCCTAAAGAAAAAAAAAAAAAACAAAAACAAAAACGAAACGTTACGCAACAAAAAAAACGCAACAAAACCCCCGATTAAATGAAACACAAAAACCCGCCTCTAACGCGAACGCACGGCCGGAGCAGTATCGACCCATCATCCTGCCGCTCTCCAGCGTCATCCAGGTAGGTACTACTCTCGTCGATGGTTTACGAGCGAGGTGAGCAGCGAGTGGTTCACTGTCTTCGGGAACGCAACAGGTGCGATCGTCGATTCTGATCTCGCCGCCGCGCCGCGCCGCGGCGCCCCTCGAGCTTGTCTCTCCACCCCGTTCCTGGAGTGTGCCGGTTAGTCTGGACTGGAAGGACGAACGACGTCGCGCGCTGATTCTTCCCCGAGAATGAAACGCCGCGGGGAGAAACGTCCGGTCGAGTTTTCTCCGCTGAGATACGAACGATCGAGAAATTCCGTCTCAAAGTTGCCAGGATTCAGCGTGCTCGTTAATTTCGAGAGAATTCTCCACTGGAATTTCGAGAACGTTCGTGCCGCAGCGGATGATTCAGCTTCAGCCGGCTAGATATTTCCCCCCGCGCGCGTGTTATCGAAGTAAAGCGGGACGGAATTCACTCGCGATCTCACTTGGTAATCGGTTTGACCTCGGAACGGCTTTACGGGACGAAGGAAAAAGAGAGAGAGAGAGAGAGAGAGAGAGAAAAGGTCGTTAGATCCTCAAGGACCGCCAATTTGTGTCCTCGGCGCTGATTTGCATCGGAATCGACGAGAGCACCTGCTTGCGCCTTTTTTCCTTACGGAATATTCTCCTTTTAAGCCGCAGATTAACGTAGAAACGATAGAAATAACAGAACGAATGTCACAGATCGATAAGGTCCCGAAAAGTGCGCGCGATGTGGAGCGAGGGGAATTATTCAGACGACCTCTCTTCTTATTCTTCTATATCGTCCAGTTTTGTCGTTTTCGGGACTTTGCGATCTGCGAGGGTTTCAAGCGCTTCACCGAGGAGCGCGAGGATCGATCGTTTTCTTTTCTCTGCCTGCGCTGGATGGCGAGATCCAATACCTCGTTTGGCGCTGTCGGATGTCCAACGCGCAAATTGTTCCACGCGATAAGCAAGATGACGATAATGAGCCGCAAAAATATACGACAAGACCGAGGCGCTCGCAAGTAGAGCTTCTCGCAAGTCGTACGTCAACGTCAAGTCTCGCGCATGACTTCGTATCCGAACGGCGATACGGGGTGTTGGACGAAGCTCGCCGATCATTTTGGTAAAAGCTCTTGCGAAACCGCGGTAACGACGCTTCGCTGCTCTCTCACACCGTCTCGCACTAATTAATTTCAGATATCTCGATGTTTACTAATCCTAAAGCGCTACCTCATCGCAGTAACATCCATCATCACGGTGTCATGCGTAATTCAAGGTAATGTAACGCACGTAACGATTAATCCGCACCGCCGCGTGTCCTTCGCTGACCGATCGAGCCACATGTGTTCGCTCTAATCATGTATTATAAATACACGCCGAGGCCTCCTTCCGCGGCCCACGCACGCGCGAGTTTGTTTCCTCGCTACCCTGCCGTCGACTCTTTGCTGATGACTTTGCTTTGATCGTGCGACAAGACTCGCTTTTTACCTCCGAATAAGCACCCCGTGAGTTTCAACAACATCGCTGCTGAGTCGAGAAGGTTGATCGCTATTACAACGCTGTTGGCCAATCCTGCTGATGCAACGGCATCTTTCCCTCATGTATATACGTAGTTCTTCCTCGTATCATTAACCCCTCGACTCTGGCGGCTGAAGAAATTTCGACCGCTTACTCGTAACGTTACGACGTTAAACGACGAGCTCGGCAAGCGCGCCTAGACGCGAAACTCTCTGCCAGGTTTTACACTCTTGAACTTTGGAAGATTCATTTCTTGCCAGCTTAGGCACCTTTGTGAAATTCAGCTTGCCGGTCGAGGGGCTCAGAGAGAGAGAGAGAGAGAGAGAGAGAGAAGGAGAGAGAGGGAGAAGAGAGCCCAAGCATGCCGGCCCAAGCACGCCGCTTTAGCCATCGCCAGACGGACAAACCGTCGCATATTAGGGCCAGATGACATTTTCTGGTTGAAAATTCTCTAGAGACCTGAATTTCCAACCGATCATCGACACCAAGTGGATGAGGTTGATCCTGAATAAATTCCAAAGAGATCTGTCTAGCCGAAATTTTGAAAAAATTATCGCTTCAGAGTTCATGGGTTTATCGTTTAAAGTATAGTGTCTTGGGTTCGACTTCAATGGGTTCGAACCTATGGACACTAAATACGAGACCCTGGAACTTATAATCACCTTTTAGAAAACTCAGAATTTCAAAGCTCATCAGCTCAGCTAAAAAGTTCTCGGATTGATAGATTCTTAGGTTGATGGGCTTAAGACTCAAAATCCCTCGGTTTTGTGCTCAACGGGTCTATATTTGATGCTTTTGTATTTTGAGCATATGAGTTTTGGGTTAATAGGTCTCTGGTTCAAGATCGATAAATCTCGAGGTGTCTGTTGATTGATTTCATAGTTTCACTCCGCTGAATACGCTATTAGATAGAAATAAATTGTTGAATAATGAGTATTTCACAAGTTTCTCGCGTTTAACGATAATTTTTCCTCTTTTGGGGCCAGTAATTCGAGGAAACAATTTTTTTTTTATTTTGGCAAGACAGATCTCTGCGGAATTGATTCAGGATCAGCCTCATCCATTGGTGTCGATGATCGGTTGGAAATTCAGGTCTCTAGAGAATTTTCAACCAAAGAATGTCATCTGGCCCCACTGTGCGTCGCTCGGCTTGCACCAGCACATTCTATGCGCTTCGCCGCAGAGCTCGCCAGCTAGCTGTCGGTTAGTAAAGACGAGTTCATGCCTTCTCTCCAGTTGAGGAGCTATCATCCTCACATGCCATACGTGGCGCACAAGCGGCTCGTCACCATAGTTCACTCGCCGGTGCACCATGTGTACTACGCCGGTGCGATGGTACCGATAAGGGTGCGGGCGCGCGTGCGGCCCAGCGTCCTCGTAGCCGAGCTCAACAGGATACGCGACCTGCCGAGGCCGTCCAGCCGATCGTACCTGGAAGAGTACCTAAACTCCCGTGATCACATAGTAAGTCTGGCAAGCGGCTTAATCTCGGCCCTAATCACCGAGCCTAACATCGCGATCGTTAGAGCCACGACGACGTGGTCGCTCACCATGTCGTCGCACGCCGCCATCATCGCTCACCAGTCGCCGTCACCATCATCACCCCCTCGCATCACCCGCATCATTGTCGTCGCCGTTTTTGTCCCTCACGTCGCGACGTTCAGCGTCGTAAACATTTTTTGTCGTTCTGAAGGGGAGAGAGAGAGAGAGAGAGAGAGAGAGAGAAAGAGAGAGAGAGGGGAGGATTAATGCCACGAAGAAAGATTTCTCTTTCCGTTCATTCCAAGAAAGAGCGACGTTTGTCCAGGCGATTCTTGCTGCCGCTGAAGCAAGAGTCCAGCCTGCGGAACGAAGCTCGAGATAAAAAGTCGCGGGTCTGACAAGCATTCGAATTCATTCGCTGCGTAACGAGGGGGAGAGAGAGAGAGAGAGAGAGAGAGAGAGGGGGGGGAGGGGAGGTGTGTTCATGCGAATAATGTTCCACGTGTTCTCGTCTCTTCGCAGTTGTTCGACGATGAAACGAGGGAGTTGCGCGCGAGGATGGATTCCCTTCTTCGCCGCGTCCACGTGTTCGTGCCGAGGGCAGTGGCAAGGTACGCTTGATGAGAGGAGAGGAGAGAGCGACGCTCTCTTGAACGGACGAGGTCGATCGAGAGGGTCCGCTCGCGCTTGAGAGCCGGCAGCCGCGTCTTCAGCCGCGGAGAGACGAATAATAATCTCGGCGATCTCGCTTGGCGATTTCCAGCGACTTCCTCGAGGAGATCGTG